GCGTTGTACCGCAGGAAAGGCTACAAGTGCGAGCCCCTTGCTCTAGGGCACAACCCGGCGGCACAAGCTCTCTTGCACCAAGGGCAGCTGGCAACGTTATGAGCTCGCGCTTCTAGCCTTCGCTGCGGTACAACATAAGGTGAAACAAAGTATACCAATTAAGCGGAGATATACTGTATGAGGCCTGTGTCTCCGAGACGTCAGTACAACCTGACGGACGAATAGCCCGATGTCACTAAGCGTTCGGCGCGTGCGTGACGCATCCATAACTTTAGTTCACAGGAGCCAGACGGCCTTGCATGCAAGGGTCGTGCCGTCTCGTGCTCCACACGCGTAGAGCTATACAGCGGTGTGGTCGCACGTGCAGAAAGACAAAAGTTCCCTCGCTAGTCAAACTGGCTGGTGAGATTGGTCTCTTAGATGAAAAGGCTGCGCAAGCGTTTATATCAGAATGTGCCCCAGTCGATCTCTTGAGACAAGTTTGGCTCTCATCGAAACTGAAACAAATTGAGAAAGAATGATGAGGCGATCGAAGACCCAATTCTGGTCTGTGATTGACGTGCGGAAGTGACGGTGCCGATGAAATGCAGCTTGATAACCGCCATCATTTAGGCGACAGTGAAACTGCTTTTCGAGTCACCAAAAGGCACTGCATTTTGGTGACTCGGAAAGGTCCTACTTATTAAAAAAAAAAACAAAAAAAAAACAACTGCACATTTGTGAAGAATGTAACAATAATCTACGCGAATGTGAGTAATAAATACCATACACCTTGCGACTAAAAGAAAAATAAGATAAATAGAGGCATTATCTTTGTGCCCCCCTCCCCCATCTTTTGTGGGTTTGATGGTGAAATGAATCTACTCGTGACGTTTAGTGTCTTTAACGTGTATGAAAAAACAAAACACAATAAGAGTAACCTTTATTTCTACTGATTCCGGACGTTTCACCTTAAAATCGTAAAGTCTATCAGGAATGCGCATTTGTTCTTTGGCCTTCGCAACGTTTCAGTGAATTTGTCAAGATATTATGTTTCATAAGGACAGAAGGACAATTCGCCGGTAGAGTCGAGTGCCCGTTTGACGTACGCCAGGACGAATAGTCCGTTGCCTGAAGGGTGCGATGAAGACGCGCGCTTGGTGTAGGAGGTCGTTCTATTCGCAACTCCAGCGCGCCGCTCGCCCTCAAGTGGACGAACGGAGAACCAGAGGACCGGGGACGGCAGCGGCGGCGGCGGCGCTGAAACGGTGGCAGGGACTGTCGGCCTTGATGCGAAGCCGTTTTAACGAAAAAAGTGAGCGCGTTAAAAAAGGAATTCTTGTCCTCCGCCTTGCAACAGCCTTGCACGAAGGACCGAGATGTCTAATTTCATTAGGGACTTTTCGTGTATCGCACACGCTGCGGATTTCTGGTCTTGTGCATGGCCGCCAGCTCAATCTGTACTCAACGTTACGGAAGACGCTCCCGCTAATGATGAAGGACTCTGTAGTACGGTCTACGGAAAGTCTATTCTTTGCCATAAGTAGGAGAAAACTCGTCGCGCAACGGTATGTCGAGCAACGCAAATCGGGAATGGGTTCGTGTTTTAAGGCCGTTACAAGGAACATGGCTATTTATTCTAAGCACTTTAAAAAGACAGTATACCCGTACTTGCTTTCAGGTAATTACAAAGCAAATAAAGAAATGCTCGAAGCATTTTAAGTGAGTCTGTGTTAGCCAGCCGTTCGTGACGAGAGCTTAGAACGCGCAGTTTTGGCCAGAGGGACCGCAATGTTGCAAATAACACGGTACAAAAAATGTACGGTAAATTAAAATATTTATTTGTGATAGAGCAATAAATAAAACCCCTAAACACGCCGATTATGTTAATAGGCAGTCGCACGACACTCCTAAACTTCAGTTGGACGTACAGCGCACTGACGTTCAACCAGCGCTACCAACTTTCACGAGCGGCTTGAAAGCCGTGTTGTGCAACTTATTAAAATAGCTTAAGTGAGTGTAAATGACCGAAAAGAAAAAAAGTAATCGTTTTTTTTTCGTCCTACTGCAGAACCTCGGTGTTTCTTTTTGTTGTTGTTTTTTTTCGGTACTCTTTGATGCGTACTTTAGCTGTTTAATATCTATATATTGCGCCGTCGTCAAGCCTCTCGTAAAAGTTGGGGCCGTCAGTTTGACGTCAGTGGGCTGCACGGCGAACTGAAGTTTTGGTGTGTCGTATATGTGACAAGGAATGTAAAAACTATAACATTTTTTTTTTTTTTAGAGTGATGAGCACGGCAACGCTCCTGGAGCGCACAGAAAATAGTGTTTCAAAGGCGCAGCGCGAGCTTGCCCTTGTAATGGTACACCGCACGGTTTACCGTGCGGTGTACCATTTTGTTACCGCAGGCTATAGCCTGCGGTAACAAACTTTCTATCAATAATCATAGAGCAGTTTGATTACGTGTTGCAATACACTAAAACCGAGACGGTGAGCAGCGAGTTGTGAGGCTGTGACGTGAAGACACCAATACTGTGAATGCTGCTCTTCCGAAGCTTGACGGTCACCGTTCGCGGCTCTCGTTTTAGAGCACTAATGGCCAGGCAAAGCGCAAACATATCTTCATCACCCTCAAAAATATTCTGCCACAAACAGTAACGTGGCCGGTGCCTAAAACACGCTCGCTCACCACAAAGCTTCGCAATTTGAGGTTTCTGCAACTTTTAAATAACAGCATGCTCGTTTTTCTAACGTGCATCAGCATCTCCGTCACCTGTAATATTAACCCTCCCTAATCGCTTCGCATTTGTGGACAAATAAAGCATTTTAAGCGCGCTGAACAGCGTCAGCGCGAGCAGGCGCTCGGGATATCCTGGAGAATCTACCCCGTCTCTTCCGCCATCTTAGAACTACCGCCCCGCCACCTATAGGGCGTTGGAGTTGCGAATAGTCAAACGTGTTGTTGTCTCTTTGAAGGGATGACATAAATCGGTTCCCCAAAGCCGCGGTCGTGCTACTATGACGCCATACAAACGACACTCCGAAGACACTAGGGGGGTTTAAGAAACAGTTTTTGCACATTCGATACGGTATGTGGGGGCCCTTCGGTATGAACTGCGCATGCGCGATCCTTGCTGCGGTGACACATGCGCAATTGCTACCGAAGGGCCCATATCGTATACCGCATCGGATGTGCAGAAACGGCTCCCTAAAAATCTCTATCATGTCTGCGTCGAACACATGTGTGTCTTTCGCTCGATGACACACGAGCAACGAGACCGCGACTTTATGAAATTTCGCCATACAGTTTATATCGGAGGTATGAGAACTCGCTCACAACATCCGAACCGTGACGCCCATTTTAACCCGATGGCGCTGAGGGGCTGGTGTCGCAGAAAAAGCCGGCGTCGGTGGCGTTGTGACGGGAAAATCCTGATTGGTCAATAGGGTCACGACGTCTCTGTCAGCACCACGGCTTTGTTACCTAGGAGCTGTTGACCTCGCGCGGGAATTTCGATCAACCCACAACGCTCACGGGAAGCCGGACGTCACGCGTGGAATGAAAGTGATTAAAAACGTGACATGTAATGCGAATTAAAGGTCGCCGCATGTCTGTAATAATTTCACTTTATAAAGTAATTCATTTGTTTTAAAGAAGAATTTTAGGCGCGATTCGAACCCACGGACCTTCGTTTGCGAGCCAGACTGCCAGACAGGCTGCTGCTCGCACGGCTTCGGAACGAGCGGGAGTTTATATGCTTAGCAATCGCGTTCCATTCTTAAAAACAAAGCTTAAACGTTCATAAAGCTTTTTTTCTTCAGCAGGAATGTTTTTTTTATAGTAATGTATGATTAACATTTTTCTCTCAACAAAGGACTATCATTTTTGTTTTGTTTCAGAAGTGAGACTACAGTCTGGCCCGCAGCAAAGTGTGGTTTGGAAGGTAAACGCTCCTTACAAGCGATTGGCTGACGTCGGGATTCAAGGACAATTCAGCTGCGTTTACAGCGCTCGCATTCTTCCAAGGTACTTGAACTGGTTTTATGTCGAGTGCGTAATTATGATTACTTTTTTTAACACCTCGTGTACCCATTTACATTGATGCAGCAGTAAAACTTATCAAATAAGTTAATCTTTTCTGTTTTTGTTTTCTTTTTAATGAGCCAAGTTGACCAATACAGTTTGCCTGCATGAAGCAAACATGTTCGAACGAGGTTAAGACTGGGGTGCGTGTGAGAAAAGCAAGCGAGCACAATTTCAGGTCGACAGCTTTAAAGCAATCGTCCGGTAAAATTTTGTCTTTGAGAAAACAATTAAATTATATTGACATTGCTTTTAGGGATATCGTCCGCACAATATCCGTATTTTTAATCCTCCGGCGCACAAGTAATTCAATTTTAAACAGAGCTCAACTGCTCAGATTGCACCTGCAAAACACAGAGCGTTTTCGTTGGCAACAGCGAAAGCTCTGACGTAACATTGCCTGAAGGGTGCAATTAATTCCTGAAGGGTGCAATGAATGCCTGAAGGGTGCAATGAAATTGAAAGGCCTGCTCACTCGTGTCTGCTTATACGACCCAGTTCTTCTAATATCTGACGAGAAAACAGTAAAAGGCCGGTATAACAGAGACTTTCTAACTGCTCGATCGGGGCACGTGATTTATGGGCCGCTTTTCCGTTTTAAGAGGTTTTAAGCCTGGGTCACACTACTAATACACCATACAAAAGATTCTCTGCATACATGTTCAAAGAGGTTTATAGGTATAAAGCAAACATGCTCCGAATATGCTTGAGCGGTGTTCGCAGATAATTCTGCCATCGTGTCCGCAGCGAACACCCGTGTTTTTGTTTTTTGTATAATGGGTGCGGCTTTAAGCTAGTGCGTGTCTTTCACCTATTTAGCGACGTATCGTAGCTCAGTCCCCTCCTTTCCTGTGGCGAAAGACGCGCGCAAGACCCTGCAACGTCTGACCACGATCGGCCGTCGTGTGCGCCTTGTTGTACAGGAGGTGTGCCGACATGGAGGACTCGCGAGGCCTCCGGCCACCAGAGGAGCAGTGCCCGCGCCAAGTGCCGGGACACAGGAAAACCTGCTCGTCCGCTTTTCGGCGGGAGCGTGACTCGGCGCCTTCGAGGCTCGCGAAAGCGCCGCGGCTGACCATGGAACACCTGAAGACCGGAGCGCACCTCAGCGGCGACTGCGGCAACCAGGACGCTGTGGCTCCGGCCTGGTTCGACAGGCACAAGTACGAGAGGGCCCGAGAGATCTTCAGGGAACACATCTTCAGGTACGGTTCGCGTTGCGCATGCGTGCGCTCATCGTTTCATCTAGAACCAGCCCCCGCCAAAGAAAGCTACACCTCAACCGCACTCACAATGCCCATGTGTACTCTCAGAAAAAAAAAAAAAAGAAGGCGTAGTTCTGACGCTCTTTTACCCCATGTAATACACCCCAAAACTTCCGTTCGACGTAGCGCACTGACATCGAACTGACAATACCAACTTTTACGACAGGCTTGATTGCCGCGTGGTGCAACTTATTAAAATAACTAATATACGGCTTACTAAAAAAAAAAGATTTTCTTTAGTTTTTTTGCAATCCTTTAGTGTTTTTTCTTCTTTTATTGTGGAGTCTTAGCTGTTTAATAAGTTATATCGTACCGTTATCAAGCCCCTCGTAAAAGCTGGGGCCGTCAGTTTGACGTCGGTGCACTGTACGTCCAACGCAAGTTTTGGGGGTGTATTATATAGAATAAAAGGGTGTAAGACTACACCCTTTTGTTCTGAAGGTGTACATCGTGCAAAGGACGCTGTATTTACTGTAGACATGATGACAAAATTATCTCCGGACACGCCTTAAGCACCGTTCGAAGATCGTTGGCTTCGAACATTTCTGCAGACTGTCTCTCGTGTGACGTATTATAGCAGCTTGCCCTATTTTGGTGCCGCCATCTTGGGTGCTCGATGCTCAGAGCGGTCGCCATTCACGATAGTTAGTAAATGCAACTTTCTATACAGGCTGGAAGGTCAGGACATGGCGTTTTGTTTTATGGCGGACTGTTTTAGCGTTTCAGGAGGACGGAAAACGGTGTTTCCTGCGATTTCAGACGAAGCTTCTGATAACGAGCAACAATGATTTCAAGCACCAGTTTGGCTATAGGTGGCGCAAGATAACGCCAGTTGTAACGAGTACAGCCGTTAATATTCATCCATTCATTCATCTATCGATCCGACTAGTGAAGTGTCGCTATACTCCGAAGCGTCATTCAGTGGCTCTGCACTTGTTTTCACATCAAAACCGCAAAAAAAAAAGTCCGGATTTTTACCGAGCATTAATTTCCCACTTTATATAGGTAAGTGCATTATAGATTAGATACATTTGATCGAGACGTTCACATTTAAAACGCCAAAAGCATCGCTTCTTCCTTTGACAACCAAATATTGTGCCTAGCGCGGTGTGGGAATAGTGCGCAAAACTTGTGTTTTTCTTGAGCTGGCAACGAGCACAGTTTTATCGCCAGGCGCGATTGCTCCCATGGAAACGGCCTGCACCCATTAACCAAATAATGCAATAATTGTGAACTAACCCATGAAATAATCGGTAAAATACATATGCGAATGTTCCGGTTGGGAGTCTTGTGCTCCACTGACAGAAAAACTATACTCAAGGAATGTAAATGAACTGGTCCAAAAACTACACCGTTCCGTAGTAGATGCGAGCGCAGCAAAAGCTACTACAGCGAGCTCCGCGCTTTCGGCGACCCCGCCAAGCACTCACCCTCATGCAGTGGAAACATCGTAATGGAAAACGTCCTCATACTTGTATAGCTTCAGTGTCGATCGCGCATAAATTAAAACAAATCATTGTCGACTTCTGCGAAATTGACGGCTCCTTGCGGCTTACATAGAACCTGTCACAGTAGGTGCATAAACTTGTATCTGTCTATTTATGACTCCAACAAAACGAACGGCACCTAGCGGGAAACCACTGAACTAACGAAACGGGTCCTTTGACGATTTCTGCTCATTCCTCGTGGCTTCCGTGAGTACATGGTTGTCGGCGGTTGGGGAGGTGGAACAGTTGTTCTGTTGACTCCGTTGTCACTTCTGTATAAGCTCGTAGGTCGCAACTTACGCTACCGCGTGAACGAGACATTGAGACTTTTAGCAGACCGTTACCGAGTTCTGCGTACCGGACTACCGGAGCCTTTGAAGCAAGCTTTTAAGCGCGTACGCGAGGAATACCGTGATTGAGGGGAGCGCGCTTAAAAGCATGCTTCAAAGGCTCCGATAGTGAGATACGCGGAGCATGTAAAAGGTTTGCGAAAAGTCCCTTTTGTGCGTCGTTCATTAGCACCACACTCCTTCCATCGCTTCCCCGAAGAAGGTGGAGCCTCAGTAAGTTTGCTTACGCCGACACATCTCCGAGCCTTTTTGTGGTGCGATGCGTAGTTTTCGTAATATCGGATTTGTCCACCTTTCGTGAAACACCCTGTATAAATAAGCCCGCGTTTGTCCACACCGGGTATGGGCAGTGATCGTGCGCAGAAACCAGATTTGCGTGAGGCAAAGCATCTGCGCGTGCGCAAAGCCGACAGCAGCGTCACCGCATTGGTATGACGTCAGAGAGTTGAGTTGGTCTATAGTCACCGTCACCTTAAAGAAACGCAGGGCGTGGCGCTAGTGCGCATGCATGCTCAGAACGCCTGCTCAGGACGTCGTAGCAGTGCAGTGTTGCTATGGTCACCCGCGGTCGCAGCGACACGACGCTAGAGTCACTGTCAACCTAAGCAACGCAAGGCGTGGCAGGGGTCCTGAGCATCCCAATATAGATCCGCGGCCAATCAGATTTCAGCATCCGTCGATAAGAATGTTGAAGAACCAATGAGGATGCAAGAAGCGTGATCATAATGGCCATGCCCTGCCTTTCTTAAGCTGTCTGTGAGTGTGTCTAAACCTGGCTTCATCGTTCCGCCTTTCCACAGCTTTTTCTTCGCGCACCTGGTGGGCCTAGCCATGGTGGTGACCAGGAACTCCATCCTGGACCCCCTTGTGTTCACCGGCCATTCCAACAGCTTAGCATCCCTGTACCGCCGCTACCTCAGCACCCTGAGGCACGTCAAGAGCTGGTACGAGGGTGACATCTGGAAGCCGGGAGACCCGGCCCACACGAGCATCTCCAAAGTCCGCCAGATGCATCGTCACGTGGCCGGTCAACTCGAGGGTCGCACCTGTCCGGTGACGAACGCCCGCTACCTGTCCCAGCTGGACATGGCCATCACCCAGTTCGCCTTCATGGGACTGAGCGTCCTCTACCCGCGCCAACTTGGACTGTTCCTCGCTGAACGAGACCTGGAGTGTGTCATCCACTTCTGGAGGACCGTCGGCTACAAGTTGGGCATTGCAGACTGCTACAATCTCTGCTCGGGGAACTACGAAGAGACTTTCCAGATATGCTTCGAGATGCAGGAAACCCTCATCAAGCCGGCACTGGTGAATCCTTCTCCGCAAGGTGCCACGATGAGCAAGAACATCATATGTGCCGTACGCGTGCTGGTGATTTTTCTCAGCTACGAGGGCATGATGGCCTTCTGGGCGAGACAGATCGGACTCAACTTCAACGCCACGCTGAGTCTGTACGACTGGTGGAGCTACTCCTTGATTTGGTTCACCTTTAACGTGCTGCTCAGATACAACTATTGGAGAGGTATGTTCAACTGGCTCTTGAGGCTCGCGATTAGGCGAGGCACCAAGTTCGGAGGATACTTTCAGAAACAGCTCGAGCTGCAGGAAATAACGAGCAAAGCCTTGCGGCTCAGTTACGCTTATCGCTATCAGTGAGGATTATCGCCGTATCGATGTCTGTATTTTTGATGTTGCGAACGTTATCAGCTCGCCGATAGCATAGCCGTTCCAGGCGGACATCATGCAAATACTGCACGCGAGCATGCCAAACACGCTTCCTTGAACACTGCACGCTTGAGCGTCACCAAATGGCAACTAAATAACACGCTGTAAGCATGCGGTATACTACCCAAGACTTCTCGGGTCTTCAAAAGGAGGTATTTATTATGTTAGCATGCGGTGGTTGGCTGTTCGTGTTGTGAAACAGCTCCATTACAAGCCACAGCGAAGAAGTCTTAACATCCCTGGTTGTTGGGTATGGGCAAGAGTTTACATGGAGAAAAGTATCACACCGCAGCTAGTAGGAGCACTGGCATCCACGTAAAAAAATATACAGGGTTGAAGACCCCCGTGACAGAGTGCTGCAGTTCCACGCTACATAAAGCCCCTTGACGTATTTATTTTTGTAAGTAAAGGCATGCACAGCAATGCACGATACACGCGTGGTTCTGAAAGAGCATGGCGACAGCCACGTTTTTTCTGGGCCACCAATGACTGAACAGTGCTATTCAGACGCCATATTGTTTTTGTTTTTTTCCTTCTCAGAAGACGTTCGACGCGCACCAGGCGCGTTCAAATAACTAATGTCGGTATTTGCAAAAGGGATTAGAGCCAAGCGTATGAAAGATTTTTAGGGATAGCCGCACAAGCCTTGAAAGACCGCAAAGCAATGTCCACGTCATTTTCAGAGCACAAGTCAACCGCTTGTTGACACTGAATCGGCACTCCTCATAGCCTTGGTTCCGCTCTCGCCTGGTTTTGAAACATTAAACCACGATTGCGGAAACGTCAAGTTCAGAATCACGTGATACGACTGCTGACTGTGCTTTTACTGATAGGTCTTGCGAGCTTTTATCGTTTTGTTTTGCGATTAGGCACAAATGTACTAAAGACACTGGATCCTGGAAAAGTAGCGCAAAGATCCCCGGATGGTCCTTTCCATGGACGGTTTTGGTCCATGTAACAAGAAACATCTCCTTGACCTCTTCATTGTTGGTGAACCAATCTAAATTGGCGGTGACAGGCTGCTTTATAAAAAAACATTTATTGTATACCGAGATTTCGCTATTCGCACACCGGTGAAACAAACCTATATTTCGTACCGCCACCACATCCGGTGTCAGTGCTTGGTGGCATTAAAAAATAAATTTCTATCTTGAAGCACGCAAGAGGAACAGTGTAATTGTAAGCGATCTGTGGAGAGAATGGAGAGAAGCATGATTGATAAGTTGATTCCATACACAGTGTCAAAGACGCTTATATCGGCGGGCAACGCTTTCAGTACGACAAGGTTAGAACAGCGATCTTGGCGCGGCTGGTTTAGAACGACCCCTTTGAAGCTTCGACGATTTCAAAGAATCGAAATGGCGATTGCCATGGCAACTGAGACAGATCAGGCAATCACAAGGCTTAATCTTCATTATGTCAGTATCTGTTTGTGACATGCTAGCAGACAGGGATGGCAATAACGCTACTTTGCAAGGATCCAGGAGCATTAAAATGTACCAAAGCACTCCCATAGGCCTAGTCGGGATATATATGAGCTTTTTTGCAAGAGGAGACGCCAGTTTATCTGACCGAGAGGCACTCGTATGAGTCCCTGAAAACGACTTGGACCGTAGAACAGTTGATGAGTGAACCAATATACCTACTAGATAACCAGACCGTATAGTACTATAGATCTACCGTAGGCAAGTGCAGTCCACAAACGAGGCGCAAGTGATGACGTCACCGTTCGGCTGGGGCTCGCGTTCCCAATGATGGGACACGAACCCCAGTCGGACGCTGACGTGTTCCTCGTGGTCAATGAGCGCACCGCGTTACCTCCAGACCTCTAGCGTGTGACGTAGCAAGCCTCACACTGCAGCATTGTTATGTGCGAGATGCTGATTGAAGACGCGCCAGAGCTGTCACAAAGAAGACGGTTGCTAGTTTTGGAAATTGATGTTAAAATTTGATCGTGGAAAAATAAACAAATAAAAAGATCATTGAAGGCGCCATGTTCCAGCGCTAAAAGGTAAGATTATAAATCGTGGCACGTGCAATACCGGCTGTATTAACAGTCTAATTGAGAGAAATAAAACTACCTTTAGCGGGCGCTTCACTCGTCTGCTTGATCAGGCGATCGACAGTGGCATCGTTCATCTACGAAATTCTGTAGTTGCTACGGATATCGAAGGCGCCATACGGAATGTATTGTGGCATTCACAAACTGTTTTGAATTCTTTTTTTTTAGCCCTTTCTCAGAGCTGAGCACACTTCGATATTTTATGTATCCCGTCAATAAAGCGTCCGAAAACGAGCAACCTGATGCTACTCTGGTTGGTCTTGGTATTCGAAACGGGGATCGGTGCACAGAGCTTCCAGGTTTCTGCCGCAAGATGTCAGGTAAGTCTCCACTAAATGTAGTCACGCGGGTAACGAAAAGCAAGAAAGACGCTGGGTAACTAGTTTCGAATGCCGGGGACAAAACAAACAAAACATGCATTTTTATGCACAGGTTTTTGGCGCAGCTCGTTGTTTTTTTACGTGACTATGCTTTTTTTTTGTCGTAAGTTTTGTAGTTTGAGCGCACGCGGTGCAGTATAGAAACAGCTGCATTTTTTGGGGGCATGTTTAGCTTTTGATACATATATTTCACACTGATCGAATACTCTGGACTCATTCTAGTGAAAGTAACTGAGTACTAATCGACACACTTTACGAAGGTAGTATTTAATACATTACCCAAAAAAAGGACAGACACAAAAAAGTCGAGCGGTTAGATGGGACATGTAAACCTCCAAAATATTAAAAAAAAAAAGAACTCGTTTTGAGCGACATTTACGCCGCAATACGCATTTTTCGTGGAGGTCACATTCCGCTCTAAACCACGCCCACAGATAAGAGGCCCCGCCCATTACTACTGGCCTGACCTGGCTGCTCGGCCGAACAACACAGTTAGCTGCCAACATCAGAAAAGCTGAAGAGCTGCACTTAGAAATCTTCTTCAGTGCCCGAACACGCAGGACGTCCGGTGCGTCTACTCTGACGCCTGGCACTGTATGGTGTGCTTAACCATAGCCTCTTCTACACTGACAAAGCCTGGCAGATCGCCACGAGACGCGGCCGCCGAAAGTGAAGAGGTAGCGCGGAAGACAACGGATGAGAGGAGAGGCAGGTAATGGGCGCCCCGCTGCGGCGAGACGCCGAAGCACACTTCTCCCGAGTGATGGAATGTCCGCTCGTGCTCCTTGCGTTCCTGGCGCTACCGCTTCTTTTATCGTCTGGTTTGAAAACCATGTTTCGGGTCCTCGCCCGCTGTCAAAGCTGTGCGCTGACTACAGGCTCCCCGAGAAATGCTCTGTGCTACCAGATCCTCGCGCTCCAAATCTGCGACCGGCCACACTACCGGGTGAAACAAGGAGACGGTAGGCTCTTTAAATCGACCGGAAAATTCGGTTTCTTAACCTATCGCGCTACGACTTTGTGCAGCGTCGCCCACAGATGGTGCATTTTTTTTGTAAAATTTGCAAAGAGCGAACTTACCTGAGGAAAAAGTAAAGAAAGAAAAAGGCTTAGCTCCTATGGAAACGCAGCGACGCCACCGGTCTGCAATCAACACGGCGCCGTTTTGCACGGTAGACAAGAGATGGCGCAACGAACGCCGCCAACGAATGAGCATACGGCGCCGAGAGCCAGCGTTTTTAGCAGACGATCTTTTCGAATCAAAAGCGGCGCGCGTTCCGCAAACGGCGACAGTTGCAGAAACAAAAACAGGCGCGGTAACAACAAGCAACTGCAGTTCCTTGTCTGCTAAAAACGCCGGTTCTCGGCGTCGTCTGCTCGTTCGTTGGCGGCAGTTGGCGTCGCGACCGCTTGCGCCATCTCTTGTCTACCCTGCGAAACGGCGCCGTGTTGATTGCAGACCGGTGGCGTCGCTGCGTTTCCATAGGAGCTAAGCCTTTTTCTTTCTTTACTTTTTCCTCAGGTAAGTTCGCTCTTTACAAATTTTACGAAAAAAATGCACCATCTGTGGGCAACGCTGCACAAAGTCGTAGCGCGATAGGTTAAGAAACCGAATTTTCCGGTCGATTTAAAGAGCCTACCGTCTCCTTGTTTCACCCGGTATATAGCTCCGTCGTCGAACTGCCAGGCTTTGTGAGTAGGCCATCGTTTTACGCGTCAGAAAAAGTGGTTCTTCGATTTCCGAACGATGTTCAAGGTCAACATGCTTACGCGGGGCTAAAACTTTTATTGGGCGTAAAATCACTACGCTTGCTTCCACGGGTTGTTTTTTTCTCCATTGTATAGCTTAACAGGTTTGTAACGAGATGCTTTTATACGATATTATCATAGTATTTTGTACGCGATACACGAGTGATATACGTGTCGAATGAATGTTGCACAGCCTTTTGTCGCGATAAGCACCGAAAGGTGATGCAAGAAGTTCACGATGCAACAGATGATGAACGCATATGCGGCATATTTAGGATTCCATAGTCCAGGAAGCAACAGGGTCTGAAACAGAAAAAAAAAGCGCAAAAAAAATATGTTTGCCGTGTTTGTTGGGAACAAACGAAAATATCGTTCACGGTCTCAAATTGAGCCTGGAATATTCGGAACCTTTCCGTTCCAGCGCTTATCATACAGGCAAAATATATGCCTCGTCACTGTGCTTTGGGCGCATGCGCGGCACTTGACATTTCGCAGAAGAAGACAACTGCGCATGATCAAGAAGCGTTTTTTTCACAACCCAGTGGACAAAGATGGCGGCGCGCGGAAGGCGGTTATCCGGAGCGCAAGTTCGTCTGCTTCTTTTGAGGGTTGTAATGACGTCAGAAAGACGCCTAACTCTGATTGGTTCGGAATGAAGGATAGTGGGAAGGCCTCAAGGCAGCTTGCTTTGAAGTCTACCCACTATTCTTTCAATCAAAGCCAATCAGAGCTCAGAGCCTTTCTGACGTCACTGCAACTTCTGCAAAAAGAAGCAGACGACTTGCTCTCCGCATATAAAAATGGCCCGGTGCTATCGTCGATCGTTATGATTCGAACATGAATGAACATGAAACATGAACTGAACGTGAGATGTTAGCAAGCTCAGGCGATATTGTATTGCTCTGCCGAGGTCTGTTAGGACGGAAAGACGTTCCTTGCGATTTCAGATAACTGCGGGCAACACTGATTTTAAGACCCAATATGGCTGGAATGTGATTACTTTGAAGCGTAGCGTATTTTG